GGATTGCAAGGATTATCTTAGAGGTGAAAGATTCAATGGTGTTCGAAAAATTACTTAAAAATAAATTGCATGAAGGATTATGCATTCACAGTTAGAAGTCTATTATATGTTCAAACCTATACAAGACTATATATCAGTTCTACAATTATAATGCTAGGTAAATACTAGAGCAACCTAAGAATAGAATATTAAAAAACTGCAAAAAAAATAATTAGATCTCTATAGAGGATAAAAAGTTATGTACTCACATATTGATTTTGTAAATTACCTCAATAATAGGAAGTCCACTTTAAGATTTATATTCATGTTAGTTGGAGGAGTAACTTCTTAAAAAATTATAAAGCAATTGCTAATTACATCATCAACAATAGAAATTGAATTTATGATATGCTTTAAGGCCACAAATCAAGCTTTACGGTTACGAAATTTTATCTCAAGACTTGTATGGTTGACCCAATTATCAAGACACTAAAGATATTTTGTGATAACACTACAGTGGTTTTTTTTCTCTAAGAATAATAAATGCACTAGTGATTCTAAGCACATCAAGAAAAAAATACTTGTGGTTAGAGAAAGCATCCAAAAACAACAAATCTTAATTGAAAACCTGAGCACCATCTTGATAATTACTAATCTATTTACTAAAGCTTTATAGTCAAATATTTAAAGAATATGTTCTTAGAACGAGACTTATAGCAAGCAATAAAAGATATGGTAATGTACGTTTAGGTGAATACGATTATTAATATTTTTTACTTAATTAAAGTTATTTATTTCTATTTATGTTTATGTATATTATAGTTTAATATAATAATAGGATTGGTTTGACATGATAAATTATAAGAGTTATTATGGACTACTATATTAGGAAAAGAGTGTTGTGGTATATAGAAGAGAATATAACATTGATGACATATAACCATTATAACATATATTGATAGTGTTATTATACTTATTAGACTTATTGGCTTATTTTAGAATCCATGACCATGTATGAAATACTTTTTAACTTTTTAAAAAAATTTAATTAGGTAAAATTATTTTTAAATAATTTTTATTTTTGTTTTGATTTTATATTTCTTTTATATCTAACCAATTAGTGGGCTAAGTGGAAGAATATTAGATTATGTGGGCCTATCTAATTATGTAAGATATATTATAGATCTGATTGAATTTTGATAATGGTTATTAGCCAATAGAAAGGAAGTTCAATTCTTGTAGGATTCCTTAGGAGATGATTTTAATGGGAATGACTCTTATAATTACTTATCTTAGACCATCTACTTTTGTTTATAAATAGATAGGACCTCCTAAGAATTAAAAATATAATATTTATATATGTGAATATGTGATATTATTGAGAGATTATAAATCTTATCTTACCCCCCCTTAGTCATGTGAGTCAGTCATTAAGAGATTACAAATCTTCTCTTATCTTTCTTTAGTCATATGAGCCGATCATTGAGAGAATATAGATCTTTTCTAATCTCTCCTTGTCCATAATCTATTGATCATAGTGGTCTTATGAATGATAGGAATAGAGGAGAAGATGAGCCTAGTTCTCCTTACATATCGATATCACTATGATTTTTGGATCTAAGAACGGTTCCCCTACATATTCAAATAAAGGTTTTTTTTATATAACATTGAAAGGTACACATTGTAAAACTGATCTATTGTTATTTGATTTCAATCCTAGCATTAAGTATTTTTACATAACAATAGCATATTATGATTTTTTTATGCTTATAGAATAGGCTCGGAGTTGCACTTCATTTGTGGGTGGCTCGACATTATGGGGACTAATAGGGTGGGTAGTAATTGATTGTTAAAGGAGCGAATATAATTCAAAGTAGTAATCTATTGGTAGAGGTCACATAAGGAAAGTTTATAATCCAAGTTTCCAACACCAAGATCATAGGACAATGGAGATGTCATTAGGAGGTGGCACAGAACATCAAATCATGATGGAACAATTAGAGGCAATATGAAACACCAATAAGTCTTGAGGGACAAACATTCATAGGGACGGTTGGAGTCATTGGGAGCTTCATTTCGATGAGCAACATAATAATAAGGACTATGAACTCAAAAGGTTAGTTCTATAGTATCAGAGAGATGAGTATTCGGTAAGTGCACTAAATTTGCATTAGATAGAAGCCTTGGACATTAGTGAATGGAGGAGTATTACCATAAAGGTGAAATTTGTAAGTGCATAATAGCAAGTCCTATAAGGAAGTTGATCGTACAAAGGTATGATCAAAGCTCTTTGATGTTGGACTTCTTCAAAACTTATATTTGCTCGAGGGAGCCCTGACACAATGAGTAGAAAGGGCTAGGTGAGTGAATATTACTATCGAGGGTACAACGAAGAATAGAATCCATATGACGCTTGCAACATGATAGTAGAAGTTATGTATAAAAGTTATAATATGTCTTTTATCAATTAAGCAATAGTTAAAATGAAGGTGAACTTAGAGGGAGTGTCACGATGCCACCGTAATGATAGATCTACAATCATAAAGATAAGAAAAGAGATATAGATGAAAGGTGACAAGTAGTAGAGTTGTGGGATAAGGGATTTATACGATACCGTAAAGATGAGACTTTCGAACAATCAACGATCCCTTGCTTTCTAGTGTGAAGAGCACAAAGGTCATGAAAGGGGGCTAAGGTAGTGAAGAATGTAGTAATAGACTCTGAATATTGGGATAAGACAAAAGAGCTATTGAGAGAGGTAAAGCTTTATAAGATATATTTCAAAGGATTTATTATTAAAGAATAGATGACAACAACGATGAAGAAGGTGGTACAACCCCAAAAGGATAGACAAATCTACCAATAGTTTGCTTCAATCAAGGCAAAGTTTTGCTTTTTTGGTGCAACACTTCTTGCATTATAAATGTGATAGTAAAGAGGAGTAGAAACTTTTGAATTAAGTTTCAACTAAGATTCCAATATTTTTAATGCTCTAAAAACATGAGAAAAGAGCAAACGAAGATTAGTCATTGTCTTGATGCATAGAGTGCAACACTCGGAGGCAGCAAAGACAAGTAACTTTGATCTTCTCAACTTTTCAAAGAATGGGTAGAATTGATTGCCCATTTCTCTCAATTATCTTATAGAATAGCTTTGTACACTTTTAAAGTCCCTTCAAGGAGTTCTTAGAATATGATAATAACTATCAAATCCTCACTAATGGTGATTAATTTAATCGAAAGTAGCTTATCCACTCCATCTTTCAATAAAGTGACATTGAAAAGCAAATGTGAAGTGAGCCTACTTAGAGGTGATAACTAGATAAAAGTAAACTTAATGGGTAAATTTTACGAGGATAAGACTTCAAATTTTACGAGGCGGTGCTCATTAAAAGTCCAAGCATCCATCTAGTTCACTCAAGGTAGGATATTTGAGGGATTAATATACGACAAATAAGATCCTTTTTTTTACTAAAAGGATACGTAGATACCATCGGAGATTATCACAACTCGATTGATGCCACATTAGAGTGAGTCACTAATGAGTTAAAACAACATTAGCAAATCAAAGTTTGACTACTCAATAATGATATTAAGAAAGTCGTTGGGAGTCAACAAGGCATGTTGCAACTAAAGAATGATTAAAGATGTAGTAAACTAGGAGTGTAGTGTTTGCAAATGCTTTAACGAAGATGTTTAAAGAATACATGAGAGATAGTGTCACATGCTATTCAAAGGTGTTTGATATGATGTTTGTGCTTTTCAATTTGTCCACGTCATATGCAACATGTAATAGACTTGTAGTAAGCTTGATAACCTCATTTTTATTTAGGTTCGATTGTCATTTTTGAATTGTAATCAAAGTTTACATGTAATCATCATGTAAATGTAAATATGTCCAAAAACAAAGCCTCCATCTTGCCATTTGTTATAATTTTCTAGAGCAAAGAAATATTGTAAAATGATAATCATCTCAGCGTCCTAGAACCTCATGGGTCACATTGGGTTAAACAGGAGTGTGAGGTAGTGTCTCAGTTTGGGCCATCACTTTGTTTTGCAACAGTATTGTTTGTCTGGGCATTTATGCAACATGATTGTGCACAACTTGTTGTCTTAGACCATTTGCTACACAATCGTTAATAGCCTTTATATTTTGTAGTGTCTATAAGTATGCCTAGATGTCAATCCCGAATTTATGCTACGACAAAGGGACGATGGTAGTTTGCTCATGCATCAATGTTAACTAATTTTTTTCTCTTATAGGTAGGTCCCTACGAGATTGCATGATGTTACGAGGAGACATATGGGTATTACAATGTGTCACATGGTTTAAGCAAAATCACTTTATTCTGACATATAATTAAGTTGAATAACTTTTTTAAAAACAAAAAAGTTTCCAAGCTAAATATTGGTAATACGGTTGTGGTGATAGAGAGAGAGTACATTCTTTTAGCCAAAAGTTAAGGGTTCAGAAACTGTAAGGTTGTTTCATGTGATCAAATTTTATTTCACTTACCTTTACCAAAAGAGAAAGAACTTGTTAGTCTGAAAGAGTACATCAAACAAGTCAATGGGGAGCATAATGGAGTGACAAGAATACTCTTTTTGTGGGGAATTCGTTTAAGCACCCCGTGAACTATAGTCACAAATAGATTCATTAATAATCGGCCTCCTGGCTTTTTCACTATTCAAGCATTTTAGTTACCTATGAATATCTGTTATATATCATGTATGATTATACTATACGTTCGTTTTGAATGCGACACTGAATTGATTCATTCATCACTAAGAAGAGAGATCGATGGGGCCTGAAACTTGTACGATTCGACATGGACTCTGAAAGCGCATCATCCTCTCTTCTCTCCAAAAGAAGACAGTAATGATTTGACATGGAGTTGGAATCCTAACACACAGCAATGCTACTTAAGGAGAAGATAAAAAAGAGATGATGGGGCAGCCGACTCCGCAACTGCAACGTGATTGAAGGGAATGAAAATGCAACCACGAATCAGAACATAAATCGAGCCAAAGAGGGTCAGCTCCGTGGGCTGACCTTCAACAATAAAGTAGTTGCTGCATCACTACCAGCAGCTTCCCTTTTATGCCACAGATAAATAGGATGGCTCTGCAATGTTTTCCCCCACATTTAAATAAAATGTGAAGAATAGCATATGCAAATACCATCAATGTCTGTTGTTGCTACACCCAAGTATAGAGTCTCCACCATTGCGATTCATGCCATGTTGATGGTATTAGAATCCTCATACACCTTATAAAGAAAAAGTAAATCTCTGATTGTCAACACAAAGACACACTTGGAGTAGATTCATGACGCAGATCATTAACTAAAGCCTCAGTTGCTTCAACAGAGACGTGTTGAACTTGGCAGCAAGCCTCACAATCAGCAAGAAGAGTAATTGATCACGCAGATCACTTGCAAAAAGTCCAACGAACTGAGTTTGTAAATTGGGTTAAAGAATGTGTCTCTGGGTGTCTCAGTGAAGCCCAAGACATGTGATGCCTCTTGAAGAGAACAGACACCATTTGATAATTTTATTCATGTGCAGAAATTAATTTTGCTCGAGTTGGAACACTCCGAACTTTGAAGACCCATCATCCGATGACTTTGAATCTGATACTTCCATGAAATATTTAGAACTTTTCTGTGCTTCACAAGAGTAATCGTCTAATGTCACTAAAGTTCGATGCCAGAGCAGAAAGGAACTTACCTGCAAGCAGAAATAAAACAGAGAAAATTGGATCCAATTCCCTTTTATCAAAGAAGAAGAATAATGTGGAAACTTACTTCCCAACTGGCCATCAAAGATACGGTGATCAGCAGACAGCTTCAAGCTCATCTTTGTTATGACAGCAGGTTTCTCAACTCCTGAAAAAGAGTACAAAGCTCAATTAAAAAATTGCAAGTTTATCAAAGCAAATACTTAATTGAAATGGAGGACATACCATCAATCCCGATGACAGGTTCAACAACTTTGTTACCTTGACCAACAGCAAGAATACAAGCCTGAAAGAATTTGATACAATTTTGTGAAACTTCGCCATCTTAAAAAAAAAAAGTCCTGGTAGCAATTTATAAAAATACTTGGGCATGATACAAGAAATTTGTTGAGAACATTTAACTTAACACAAAACTTCTATTTTCTTGGTGACATAACATCAAAACAGACAAAAGGGTTCAGTCAAAAAAAGAACCAGCTTAATAGCACATTAAGTCATATGAAATATTGTCGTATTGGAGCTTATGATGATAATATCGAGTAAGGTCAATTGTTTCCCAAATCTACAAAGATGAGATTATATACTGAAAGTATCAATTCTACAACATGTTAGATCAATTAGTACAGAATTACAACCAATTCAAGAAAGAGCTTACTTACTCCAGATTCAGCTTAGTGATGGTTAGGTCATGTTGACTCTTTAACCGAACACAAGAATCAAGAGTTCTATGTATAATATATACAGTAAGTCCATTTTAATTTTTTTGTAGAAATTTTGCTATTATTATATTGTTTGTCATTAGGTTATATCTAATGTCCCTGAGTTGAGAGTCTTATCTTTGAGTAAAAAGTAGTGTTCAGGTGAAATAGGAATTATGTATGGAAGGCTAAATGTGCACTTACACAGACTGCCAATATGGCAGCACTGTTTTATGATTTACAAAGTTATGAAGGATATAGAATCTATAAGAAAAATTAGTTGAAAGAAATCGGGAAAGAAATAAAGCACTGGTTTTCTATATTCCTCAAATGGATAATCTTAATCATGTTTCTATCCTTATATAAAAGAACGTAAGTAGACCTGAAATTGAGGATTGTTCACAGTGAAATAAGAGTGACATGACCAGGGGAAACAAGAAACTAATCTGGTTTGATGCCTTATTGCCAATTCACTTTGGATGGTCTGATTGAATTATAGTGAATGCCACTTCCACAACCACCAAAATAAGCCTTACTCCCTGTGGTGCAGAATGCTTAATTTAACCAATGAAAACTTCTACAACATCAACCCTTCTGAAGGGGCTCCCATGAGGAACATTCTTTCTACTAACAACATCTCCCATCATTTTCATTATATAATTGAATGTGATGGCTCTTTTCACCCTTCTTCAAGTTTTGCAGGCTCAGGTTACATTATCAAAGGAGCCACAGGGGCCATCTTTGCTGCTGGCCTTCTGCATGGACTTCAAAGAGCCAAAAGAGAAGGACTCTCCACCATCTCTGAATTAGATCAGATGCTCAGGAGATCAGATGTACCAAGCTTCCTTTTTGATGAATTAATAGATAGATTTGTTTCTTTCAATAAAAATAGGGTTTGCTAGATCACAGCCAAAATTACACTCTCTTTTGCTGGCTTGTTGATATCACTTTGTTCTGACTCCTATTACATTATGAGAAATTTTTAACTCCCTCCTTTAAAATCCTAGTATTTCAGCAGAAGCTACAGCAACCATCATCTATTTCCTATTCCAACAACAGCTCACCAAAAGCTAAAACAAACTGTAAGAACCATCTTCAGTACTATCTTAGATTTCTAACAATTCTACAGTCATCTCGATAGTGCTTATTTGTTCAATCCTGAAATGGAAGAAGTATGTTAAAAAAACACATTCCATGTTCGCAAAGCTCCTGCAATATGGGTCTAGAATTGCAAAGTAATACCCTTATATACACCAAGGCTCCCCTTCTACATGGAATAAGTATATTACCAATCAAAAAGGTATATAGAAGAAGAATTTCAAGACTAAATTGTAAACCCGCCACATCTTTCCCAGGCCACATTAAATGTTGTTAGAGAAAATTGAATCATGAAAGCAGAAGAGGACAGAAACAGGTCTGGTACCCGAACCAGCGATCCATGGCTTATAGTAATTAAAGGTCCACTGGAAGCTCTGATGAGAATAACAAAAAAACGAGTGGATGCAGTAGATTGGAAGAATTATGAGATGATAAAATTGTGTACATAGACTTAGTACTTTAACACTATTGACAGTTTTAAACAAGGTCATTTGTCTAAGCCCATTGTATACGAGTTATTTAATAAGGCACTTGGATTATGACACATCTATTATCATGTTTCTTTCAATTTGATAGTTGAGAGATTTTACTATAAATGATATAGTTTTTGAATGGCAAATTAGGGAGGTTGCAAAATTATATTGGAGCATGTTACACCAGTTAAGTTTATACAGGTTAACTGTTACCATACTGCAAAACCCATGCTTATCTCTAAAAGGGTATCCTATTTTTAAGCCACTGGATTATTCTTGATTACAATAAGCTTAAATACATTAGGAATTCTCAATATCATTTTCTGGTTACTAACCTGGAAAAAAGCAGATTGTTCTTTATCATCTTTAAGCCAACCTCTTCAAGTTTGTCAACTTAGAATTGTATGATATAATGGTAAATATCAGAAACACATACAGAAGCAAGCATGTCAATTTCTCAGTTAATCTGCATCTATTAAAATAAATATCTTAAGATCCTTTATTTAATGAATGGAATTGGGGAAAATATGTTTAAGAAAAGACACTTGCAATTTTATTGCTTCTAAGGTGCTGATATTCGGAGTTTATCAAGTAATAAAGAGGAAATGCAGCATAGGCATACATATAGACATCACAAAAACATTGCAAACAGTCAAGAGGGAGGGGCATGCAGAGAGACCTGTGGAGGGTTTATAATTGCACAGAAATGGTCCACAGGAAACATTCCAAGATTTGAGATGCTGCAAAAGAAATAAACAATTAAAAATGAAAGTCTAAGAACCTAAAAATATCAGGAAAAAGTAGAAGTAAAATAAAAACAACTAGTATGACCATGATATTTTGGACACTCACCTAAAAGTCCCACCTTGGTACTGGTCAGGTTTAAGCTTTCCACCTCGTGCCTTCTCAGCCAATTCTTTGACCTAAGATCATTAGAACAAGTAATTGAGAGCTCATGTTTTTTTTGCTTGTTGAAGATAAAATACCAAATGTTTGAGAGAACTTGGAATTTTACAGCAAATGACATGAAAGCACAAAAGATAAATGATGAAAATCTTTATTTAATAAAATCAAATCTGGACTTGTAGACTGGTTCCATTACTTTCATCATCAGTTTATGATGCACAAGCTAAGATTGGCAAAAGGATTAATAAGTTGTGACTAATATCTTGATACAAAAATCAACAAGCTCATTGTAGCTTCCGCTATACAATTTAGTAAATATAAATTAACTTTCCAATCATATTGTCAAGAAAAGCACTAAACCATAAACCATTGAGGTCCTTCAATTAGTTATGATTGTAAGATACCACTGGACATACCAAATAATTTAAAACGGTAAAACCATAAAAGCACAAAAAAGTCAAAAAAAAAAAGATCATAAACTTAAATAAAAGCTAACATGAGAAATTACTCCTCAAGAACCACAATCCATAAGTAATTTTCAATGAGCATTTAACTAACATGGGTACATAACTGTACCACCATTGAGGTCCATATGATCTGAGATGGCATTTTTTCACATGATTAGGTCATTGGAAAGCAGATCAAAATGAATGACCCATTCCTAGGATTTAATGGGGAAATTGGATTCCAAATTCCATTCCCAAAGACAATAAATGAAAATAAATATCTAAATAAAACAGAAATTGAATAGGATAACTAATATACAAATAATATAATATAACAAACTATATACCATAATATATAAGAGTAAAATATTAAAAAATGTACTTGCTTGTTTCAAAACTTATTCTGGTATATTTGAAATTACATTCCAATTCTAATTTCAATGAAGCAGATGCCACCTTAAGTTGATACCATATGGAAAAACTGTGGAAAAGGAAAATCCTAGTTGGAAGTAAGCATCCAATAGCAGTTCATAAACAATATTTTGTTTTCTTTATTTCTTGAGAAGCAGGCATACTGAAAAAAAGGTTATTGTTATTATATAACATATTTAAATCCACTGAAACAATTCTTTTAGCCCCTCTGAGAATAACCAAACCAACAAGTTTACCACTAACAATCAGCTATTCACTCTACTCGCCCATGAAATAAAATTCAAACAGAATATTGTTTTGTTGAACTCTTTTAAAAAATGCAAGTTAAATATTGACTTCAGGGATTGGGATCCAAAGATCCAAGCCTCTTTTTTCTAGCCTTTGAATGTTACAAACATTACAGCGCAAACACTTTGAAAGGAAAGTCAGTAGGTTCTTTGAGTAATTCATCACAAGTAAATGATCACAAAGGGATTACTGACTACAGGTTCAATATAAGGCCTCTATGGAAGAGATCCAATTCTCAAAGATTTTTTTAAGTTCGATGATTTTGACAACTTTTGACAATTTTTAGCTGTTTCAAGAATGGTTTATCTTATCGGTCTGTACCGATTTACCAACTGGCCATCAATACGAAGTGTACCAAGCCGTGCTGACATATCGATATGGTACGATGGGACGTACCAACAATACCGATATATATTGCCCATATCGATCGTCTATCAAACTGATACATACCACCTGCAGTGAGTGGTATGCTATGATATAGTGAACCTTGGTTTGACGACAATTTAGATTATTTTAATTGATTTGAACCAAAATTTGATAATGCTAAAACAAAAATCATCAAAAACATATACTCAGACTCTTTTTCTTAATTAAAGGAAAAAATAACAGGATAATATTAGCAGTATCAGATAATATTACTAATCCACATTTCAGTTCCAGTGGTTTGGGTATATTTCAACAAATTCTGAAAATGACTAGGTCAGGATATGTTGATTCAATTGGATAATCTGGATCAGAAACATAAATATAACATAAACCTCAATTAAATAAAAAGACAGATTGCAACATGGAAACAGAGAATATCAGTTGTGATTCAATTTAATGAACTAGGTCGGGATTTTAAGAAAACTCCAAAAACAATAGTTAGGTAAGGCTATTTTGTTCCAATTAGCATGATCAGAACAGCATATCGTGCAATTCTTACAACTAGCTGCTTGATTTTATATCAACAGAAAGTTGCTTTACCTCCAAGGATATTGCTGAGAGTGATTTCTGATCTGCATTCCTTATGATCGGAGTCATCAAGCCCTGTAACTCAACAATGTTGATGGTGTAAATTTAACAGTATATCTATAACCATTTTAAAGAAGATAAAGAAGCACCTTCTCAGTTGCAACTGCTACTGATATATCAATTGAGTCACATAAAGCAGGTTCTCCTTTCTCATCATTCCAGCAAACTGCTCACGATGCATAATCAATAATCTTTCAATCAGATTGAAGATGATACAACTAGCATAACATGTGAATATTTAGCATAAAAAACTGCTTGAGCAAAGCCACAGAAAGAACTCCCAAAAGAAAGTCAGAAGTTGAGAAATAAAACAATATTAATAGTTATAATGTTTCAATAGGGGCCTCACAAAGTACAAACAAATATGAGTTTTCATACATTTCACATAGTATTTCATGCAACACAATTTACAAATTATTATAAGCAGATAAAGAGAGTCAACAAAATGCAACAAATAGCTAAACCATGGGAATATATAATAAGATAAATGAACCATCAAACTGTTTATATCTGAGTAGAAAAAATTATCTTAAAACAACTAGAAAGGAGATGCAATTTTATTTGCAACTTCTTTGAAAAGAAAAGACCAACATATAGTTACAAGTTGGTGCTGCTTTGTGAAGGGTGTGCTCAGTTTCCAAACCAAAAGACCGACTGCTTTCTCAAAAGATCATATAAAGGTGACCACTTTCCTGCAGTTTTTGACCTTTAAAATTTGAGAAATATCATCTTTCAACAAGAAGTAGATTTTGAAGAAAATCTTATTTATCATTCATTATAACTTATAAAGATGATTTGTTAACCAGGGATATGCTTGATGGCATGCATAAGACATGCTACTGATGAAGAAAAGGATATGATACAGCTAGGTGATGGAAACTCATGTGGCATCTCAAAACAGAGCAAAAGGATCATTCAAAAGATATTTCAAAATACATCATATTAATGTGACAAACTTAATATGATGATACCTACTGTTACACTTTAAATCAAACTCATATAATAGTGTAAGAATCCTGTCAACATTTTTTTACAGTACCCTTGTGACACTGATACCCTATTCTTTTGCACATGCAAAGGGTGATAAATTTAGTAAAAACACTGAGGCGCACATGTTAAACCAAACACTGAGGAGAGAAATAACAAAAATGAGGTGGGCAGCAGGTGGACGGGCAGCAATGGACAGTGATCAGTGATGGTGATCGCATGATGAGGAGACAGAGAGGCTCACAATTTGCAACTCTAAAAAATTGTGACTTTTAAACTTAAGATGCCGATTTTTTCATCGAACAAGGCCACGCCTTACAAAATAGGGCAGTCCATGTAACAATTCACACCCGGATCCATATATACTGGTCTATACGAACCAGTCCGGGCAAAACTAAATTCCTTAAAACACACTTAAAATGCATCCAATCTGCTACACTTCAAAATCTATGCTGCAGAAAATTTCAGCCACATATTGTTGCCTTAACACATCTATTTGCAATCTTTTTTGAATGAAATTTCTTATACACTTCATAGATCATCTTGGCTTCCATCTAAGATTGATCTATTGAGGAATTCATCTCTAAAAACGATTTTATGTTGCTGCAAATTTTCATCGTAAACTGCTGAAATTTTTCGACGAGAATTCTGCTGACACTAGAAGTCATTTTAGGTATTCATATTTTGTAAAATTTGATAAATACCAAATTTTGTACTAGAAAAGTAGTGGCACTAGATTAGTAAGTCCAAATGTATTTACACTATGATGAATACCACCATAGTGTTATGTTCTATCATGGTTTGGCACTTTGGATACTAGACTCGTGTCGATCCCCGACTGGAACAATACAAGTCCCATATGTGCTGTATCGGCACATGATATGCAAGCTCGTGTTGTGGAATCTTTTATACGGTTTGACACTTTGGACACCAGACTTGTGTCAATCCCTGACTGGAACAATACAAGTCTTGTATGTGGTGTATCGGCACAAGTTTAGCAAAATCAATGTAAATTAAGTAAAAATAGTATCACATATCTTTTTCGAACTTTGAGGAATAGCCTTGTGCAAGGTTCGTATTTCGATCCATTACGGACTGTCCCTCTATAAAAATTAAAATATCTATAGAAAAATCATTTGAATTGTTAGATTATTTTGTTACAATATAAACTTTAAAATTCAAATGAATTAAATAATCACATATGTAGATATACCTGATTGTTGATTCTACCACCAAAACGAACAACGGGCCTCCAGGGGTGGTGGATCAGGGTCCTCGATCCTATACATATGCATATCAATATGATATGTTTATTGGACCCAATCATGAAATTGATCCTATGACATAGTGCATCGATACACCGTATACCATTGGTGCATCAATATGGTGATGATCGTAAGTTGATCGCCATGAATCACATTTGTCCGCGGCAGCTCCTGAGACATATACTGGTGAATGTCAGAGCTTCTACTTTCACTACTAATATGTTGCTCTATATCATACTATTGCTCTAAGAGGTATGACCAACTATTACCGTACTGCTATTGGCCATATGATTCTCCATAATACGACGGCTATGAATACGATGAGCTTCGTTCTGTGTCCACATCATGTAGGCTCCATCACATTTGCTCAAATTCATCCACTGTCTTCCCCTTCCCCTTCCGCGCATAAACTTAACCAGTACCTTGTCGATGTCCATGATCTGAATCTTGGGTGACATGTAAAATATTATTCCTCGATCCATGTGTAAAATAAATACCTCTTGATAAAAAGTTCTTCCTTTTAGATTTCTCAAATTAGCCTCGATTCAATTCACAAATCGCTGCTTTGTAGAGTCTAGGAGAGTAAAAATGTAAGAAAAAATGAGTTCGAGGTAATTTAAGAGAGTATGAGAGTGAAATAGAGTGAAATAAGGGAGAAGATGAGTTTAAAAACCCATGAGAAAGGGATCCAACGATCATTTACGAGTTGTGTCGGGCGATAATGGTCAAAATTTCAACCGTTACCACCCGATATACCCCGGTATCGTCTGATACAAGGCGTTATTGAGCATTCCGCCTGGTACCGGGCAATCCTCGTACCGATATGCTATCGTACCGATACGTACCTTTGAAATTAAAAACCCTAGTAATTAGATCTCATGTTATTCCCATCTTTCATATTTGTTTTTTTAGCTATTATAATACCTATCTTATAGAAGTTACATGATAATGGGACTACAATAAACTTAGTAAAAGACCAAATTAAGAAGTTAAAGTTTTATAACATCAAAAGGTGTTTACTAAATATAATAATGTTGTTACGATTAGTCATGCTCTAATCACCTGCTCATCTAAAGCCATAGATGCACTATTATGTACTTCATGTGGTGACACGGTGCAAATTCCTAAATCAACTATTTAGGAAATATCATTTCAAAGAGTATGTGACAAAAACCAATATAATTACCAAGTAGAAATTTCTATTTACCTTAAATGATTCAAAAGAAGGTCATCTAAACCAATAGAATACTTATGGATGACACTTGCATTAAAAAAAATAGTGGTATAATACATGAAGTGGTGTAAAACTTATGTTTTTTAATGATACAAAGTAGTTGGTCAAGCTACCAGTCACATCTCCTAACTGATGAGATCTTCTTACCTTCAGCAAATTGAACAGTGCAACTGTTCCATCGATCTATTCATCAAGCATGCCAGGCTCACATGAAAAATGGATAAATAAAGAGGGAAGGGATTTCAAGTCCATTGTTTAGAACACTTCAAATCAAAAGCAGTGATAGCTGACTTTTCAATTCACATTAAGTTGGATGGTTCGACTGAGGATAGCTTTTTAAAATTTAGATCCGTTAAAGAATATTTTCACATTTATGTATAAGGAAAATAACAAGTTATATGCAATGGTATTCTCCTATCAGATGACCAAGTTCAGATTTCAAACTTGAGGATCTTATACAAGCACAGATGGTTCAAACTCTTACCATTTACTTCAGGTACATTTCTCAATGCAAGTGCAACAGCTTTTATGACAATGTCATTTACTGAGACTTTGACATTATATTGCTCTGCATGTTGAGACAAAAAGAACTTATATTTATCAACCAAAAAAGCAGTATATCTCGAATACACTTAATGAGAATGGATATGGTTGCCAACCTTTAAGTTCCTTTCTGAAAGCAAGTAAAGGGTCCAATATGACATCTGAAAACATGTTAAACATATAATTACAATTAAAAGGTATGAGAAATGCTAATTGAAGAATGAAGATCCACCTGAGGACAGATATAAATGTGGAATGTGTTGTTTTGATTCCAGCAATCGTTTTGCAATAACCTAAATAAAACCATATCCGCCAAGATCATCAAAGGTGTACATGAAAAAAAGATAACATGGTAAAATAACAGTACAAATTCCAATAATTGTAGGTTTTATGTTAATTACAATGAACCAAAGCTCGTAATTTCCAAGTGTAGTATCATTCAAATTTTTACATGTAGTACAGTTCAAGTGTAGTTCCAAATATGGCACCATTCATATGACTCATTATATACCATGGAAATGCTGAAAATGGGGCACAGTATACACTTTGTGCCAGTTCAACTCATGCCTACCTTACATATATACATGCAACAGAATACAGAACAACATATTGCTACAGAGGATATAGCACATAATACCAATGCGGGCATGCTCACAAAACGTGGCTCAATACAAACTGCTCTAGCCACTAGTAGACAGACACCAAACATAATGTAAGTGCCGAGGTAAGTGTCAACATATCTCAGGTGTAACACTTGAAACATATTCTGAGAACCAAAAGAAAGAAGGCTTGGTAGCAAAACACGATGGTCTACATCATTTATATGGCCAAAAGCCACATAATAAGGGCAAACTGAACCAAGCCAATCCATTCAAATGGATTTGAAAGTTAGAACTTTTGTCTTTTTTATGTGGCTTAAAAGCCTTGTGCCTTTTCGCCGACCTGTCACGGACAAACTTCTAAACAAGATATTTGATGTAATGCTTATGTATGTCCGTGTCTTTTGGCATGTTCATGCCTTGTACAGCATGTAGAGGGGCGGCCGAAGGCTTAATAGTCCCATTTTAGTTAGGTTGGTGGCCTCTTTAGGCTTGTAAATAAAGGTTGTGTCATGTGGACACGTGTGAGAGATTTTTGGTCTGTAATGGACCATTTTACCCTTTGTTGTGCAACTATTCAGAGCTTGTAAAGTCTGTTTGTAATTTGCATTGTCTATGAAGTGTTTTTTTCGGAGATGTTTGCTTGTAGATCCTGATTGAGGCGTTCTCTCTAACCCGTTCTCTCTTTTGTTGGTCCTAAGGGACAATGGGAGGCTTCGGGGAGGCTGACCTTTGCGGACGGACACGCAAGGGTGCCGCACGACTTAAGCAAAACCAACTAAGTCTGTGACAGATGGTATCAGAGCGGGACAAGCACTCATAGAAACACTTAGCATGCAAACGTGGGGGGACCTAGCGGGGCTGCGTTGAGGGCAGTCAGCACACGCGCGACCGTTTGGGGGAAAACGGGCATGGAGATGTAGGGAAAAGGAGTCGGTCGGAGGAGCGGGCATCTGACATTGGCATTCAGAGGAATGGCCAACCCTTCGCGCAAGAGGCACCACGAGAACAGGCAAGCTTGGAAGAATGCGGAGCGCACAAAGGTTGGGATGGTTGAGTTTGAGCTACGGCTCAACGTTGACAACTATACTTGATGGTGCTCAAGCCAAGCTAGGCGCTTGGTAAAGGATGAGACCATGCAAGGTAGAATGAGTTGCTCAGCGATCGAAAGAGTTATGCAAAGCTCACAGAGGTGAGGGGAATTGCTAACTCAAAGAATTCGGTACTCATGCATGGGCTTGTATGCGGACGATGGAATGTTCACGGCCATCCCAAGGCGACCGAAACTCGGCGCCATGGAGCATTGAAACTTTCTCTTCGGCATATGAAGGATACGTTCGTAGGAGGCTGAAGTGTGCAACGAGTTCAGCATGTTGCTAGGCCTTGAGTGGTGC